TTCAGCTTTGCATAGCGGTAGCATGTCCGCCGCTTGATGCAGAGGTTCACGGTTCGACTCTAACGGCCGCCATGATTAATACTTGCGGTATTAACCATAAATACTACGCTCCTTCTGCTTCACATTGAACGTTAAAACGACCTCGGGAGATCATTGGCAAATGTCATGGTCCAAATTCGAAAAATGACCCACTGATGACTCAATTGTAATATAGGTAGCAATCACCAACCCCGACTGTGAAAACTTTGGAAGACAAACCTGCAAAAATATTTACGAGACTCAGGATCTTCTGAGTAAACACGCGTGATTTTGATTATGCAAAGTAACATAGCAATGTGCTTAAAGTTCGCACTCAATTAAACACATGCGTAAACAGGTAATACTGCCTGCTTTGACACACGGTTGCGAAACACCATGGTATAGAAAACTTGAAAATTGTACAAAGCATGGAGAGATGCTTGGAATTTCCTTGAGACAGATAGAGGACAACACGATTTAGAGAACATGCCCAGGTTATGACATCATTCAACCTCGATTTAAAGCTGTCGAGACTGCAGGGATTCATATTCTTGGTTCTTTCGGTAAAGTCACGTAGAAGGGAAATAATTAAATATTAATATACAACAATTAAATTCACACGACGTTTCGATTTCAACACAAGCAATCATCATCAGGTGTGAAAACCACAGCAAGAAAATGTTCTTGCTGTGCTTATACTTTACCGAAAGAACCAAGAATATCATTTAACCTGTTAAGAAAAGTAGGCTACAATAGATACCAGTCAATGGTCAAGTATAATAATGGAGTGGAAGCCAAGGAATGGAACGCATCAAAAATAACATCTACCAATGAGCAATGGAATCGGATTGTTTGCAGGTACTCAGCAATCACATCACAGGATCGCGAGATGGCGGCATGGGGAGGCCTTCATCCAGCAGTGGATTGCCCATGGGTAATGACGATGACGACATTACGAAAGTCACGTAGAAAGAGAAATAATACAATTTTGCAATCTTTGGAAGAACGTCATCAACCAGGTAGGGTGCTGACTGTTATGTTAGCCGACTATCTGTGTTGTATCACACTATATTTCTAAGTTTACTAGGTTTTGTTTTCTCTTTCATTTGTACCTGATGATGATTGCTTGTGTTGCAATCGAAACGTCGTATGCTATCATTTTATTTATTATTTAATCTTTCTACGTGACTTTACCCAAAGAACCAAAGAGTAATTCCTGCAGTCACGAAAGCGCCAAATCAAGTTTGATGACGACATTGTAATTGTGTTTGATTCTTTCTTCAATTGTTAAACTATAACCGGACTTGTGTTTACCTGGGCGCTCAGTGAGGTTCCTGTTAAATTCAGAGGTATATCTAGCTCATGTGCTTGGCGTAACTGTTGTAGGAGTATAATACTGGTAGGAACCTCCTGGTCACACCAGCCCACAGGGGATTATTGTGTCCGTCGTGCAGGGAGGGGCTGGGTGAGGAGGGTAGGGTGGGGAGGGGCTGGGTGGGGAGGGTGGGAGGAGTGGGGCTGGTCACCCCGTGGTGCCCTTATAAAACTCAACGTTTAACCTACTCACGCCGGCTTGTGCCCGCCCTTACAGTCGGGCATATTTGCGGAATACACCACGCCGCCATTGACCCTGGCCATTGACCGAGCAACCCAACGTTCCTACCAGCTCCCTCCGCAGAAATGTGTTAGGGAACCATCATTATTAGCCAACGTCAACCAACTGCTGGAAGGCCTCCTGTCGGGAACCCGAGATCCCAGCAAGTGGTATCTCTCAGCTGGAGGCTCAAGCCGTATTGATTGTTGCATCAATAATGAAGATTAAATAAGTAATTATGACACAGTTCATTCTTCAATAATAATTAATAAATACAAGTAAGCACGGTAATTGACACATTTAAATGTCAATAATCGATATATGTCACACGTAAAACGGCCAATATGCAGTTTATCAGCATCATCAAAATGTGCATGTTAGAATTTATTATTTTCAAATTACTCTATGCATATTTCCTTTAGGTGAGTCACAGAAAATCACATGGATGAAAAAGCAGAGGCGTGATTTTCTCTTCCTCGCCAAATCCTTAACTCTAAACAATTACTACAACACAAACTCGTATTTGACTTCACTCAGAACGCCGTCATTTGTGGGGTGAAGCACCCAGTCCCTACCTCAATGCAACTGTTACAGAATTTCGAGTAAAGCCAACAGGTTTATTGATGATCCAGAACTCACCGATTCGCTAACCAGCAATCAGTCACCTCCTCTTCACTCGATCACTACTACCATGGTTACTTTTCCTGTTAACTTGAACTTCCCGCACCTACGTACGGTGCGAAAGAATTTCAACGTACATACATCGAGTCCTCCAACAATATCGAGGACCTGTGGTGCAGTGGTTGATGCTAGAATGTTCATCTTATTTGTAGTGATTATGTACCAGGTGACAACACTTCTTCTGTTTCTTGCCTTGCACTGCCCCACTCTGGAATTATCTCCCAACCCGCCCCCCCCCCTCTCTTTTCCCAAACTCTTACATTGATAGTGCTGTTTGTTGCTGACCACTTGGCATTGTGACTTCGGACAAAAAAAGTATAAAAAAAACACAAAACAAGACAATTATTGCATCTTAAATTGAATTGTAAGCATACGGATTTGCACTTACAGGGTGCTGAAATGCCTCAGCAATTAAAAGCACCTTAAATCATATCTTATATCAACCATTTCAGTGCCCTCATAGTTTAGCCAAGGGCACCCCCCAGTAGCAGCTGTCCCTGTGTGGCACAAGATGTTAAGTAGCACCGACCTGCAAATTGGGAATTAGCCTGGAAGTAGGGGGGCGATGTTGCCGTGTTTATTTTCCAATTTCGTAAATTGCAAGTAATATTTACAACTATGGCAAATTTCCGGCACATATGGCCTACTCCTTTTGAACGTCACAGGATCTCTTAACATATGCTGTGAAACAGACAGCGCACAGTGTATATGTGATAATTGGTTTTTACCCTTCTATCTGGCAACAAAACTGACACCTTTTTACAAGGAGTCATGTTTGCATAGACCGCAATACCTGCAGTCATAATACAAACAAAAGAACATAACTCTGATAATATGCACTGTCCTTGAAGTTGATTGGTCCACACCCGAGACAGCTTTCCTTAGAGCCTAGTCTCACATGGGTTGGACCAGATGACGCCAAAAGGCGCACAACTCAAGGACAATGCACCATCAGAGTATGAGAGCTCGTGGCAAGCATCTACACTATGGGAACCTCATTTTCCAGTAAAAATATGATCATTAGTTTTTTACCCTTCTATCTGGCAACAAAACTGACACCTTTTTACAAGGAGTCATGTTTGCATAGACCGCAATACCTGCAGTCATAATACAAACAAAATACATAACTCTGATAATATGCACTGTCCTTGAAGTTGATTGGTCCACACCCGAGACAGCTTTCCTTAGAGCCTAGTCTCACATGGGTTGGACCAGATGACGCCAAAAGGCGCACAACTCAAGGACAATGTACCATCAGAGTATGAGAGCTCTGGGCAAGCATCTACACTATGAGAACCTCATTTGCCAGTAAAACTATGATAATTGTTTTTTTACCCTTCTATCTGGCATTATGACTACATGTATTGCGGTCTATGCAAACATGACTCCTTGTAAAAAGGTGTCAGTTTTGTTGCCAGATAGAAGGGTAAAAAAACAATTATCATATTTTTACTGGCAAATGAGGTTCCCATAGAGTGTATATGTGGTTAATACACCACCAGCATTAACCAGGGTGCCTGCTGGGGTTGTTCATGTTTTTGTCTTTTGTTTGTTGCGGTTGCACCCGATTCAAGAGCCGAATGGCTCACAGGGCTATACCTAATAAATGAACTTTGAACTTTTTTAACCAATGAAAGCAGGGGTCCCCAATGTACGTCGGGGTTAGGGACCAGAAAGTTGCGACCTCGAACGAAATGATGTATATCGTGGACTTTCTCCCTCCCCCCCCCCATAGGAATACATGTTAATGGGGGGGGGGATAGGGACCGTAAGAGCGTAAACATTGACTATGTGATGCAAAGCAGGGCAATTTCTCCCATAAGAAACAAACTTAGGCAAATGTTGTTTCATACCTAGCAACCAAAATACGTACTTGACATGTACAGAATAATCTGTACGATACAACACATAATGTACACATTTGTAGCGAATCATTTTTTTCCATATAGAAAACGTATTTGACATTGTAAAGCAAATATTGAAACAGAAAAGCATTTTGTTGCGTAAAGAAGTATTGTAACACGATTTTACCTTAAGCTATAGTTTTTGTTACCTTGAGTGGATGAGTTGTGTTGGGAGAGGATTAAACACCCATCTACGACCATACCCACATTTTTAAAAATGATTTTCTTAAGTTTTTCTGGAAACGTATCAGCACAGCAGCATCTACGTTGGCACCGGCTGACTCTCCCCATATTCTTTCGTTCTTGAACGATATCGTTCCTAAAATCTGTAAAACCATCCATGGGCGGCCTTGAGTGGTTTCTCTTTCGTTGTCTTTTTCTCTCCCAACTCCTTTCTCAAGTCCTCATACAAGCTCGGGGCCTTCTCCTGAACGAGGGCTAAGCTTATTCTTTGCTTATTTCGGTAAAGTCACGTATAAAGATAAAATAATAAATTCAATTAAATACTAGCATACGACGTTTCGATTGCAACACAAGCAATCATTAATCGAAACGTCGTATGCTAGTATTTAATTTAATTTATTATTTTATCGTAATAAGTGACTTTACCGAAACAACCAAAGAATAATTCCTGCAGTCACGAAAGCTCCAAATTAAGTTTGAGGGCTAAGCTGATCAGGGTATTCTCATACTCTTTGGTTTTTTCGGTAAAGTCACGTAGGTAAAAAATAAAAAATAAATTAAATCACGACGTTTCAGAGGCAACACAAGCTTCTGTCTTCCTTGTGTTGCCTCCGAAACGTCGTGATTTAAATCATTGAATTTTATTTCTTTTCAACCTACGTGACTTTACCGAAAAAACAAAGAGTATGGATTCCTGCAGTCACGAAAACTTCAAATCTAGAATTACTGCGTATTCTCTTTGTGCAGATCCTTGATCCACAAGGCCAGCCAATCGTTTCATTTTTTCCCACGATAGCACTTCTTTGCCGTGTAATTTTAACCTCCGAATATTTTAAAAACATGCCGAGCTTTACTTTCTATTTCATCAGCATTCTTCACTGTCGTACATACACTCGTTGGGAGGAAGATTCGAATGGTGCCCGATATCAATCGCACCGTTCACCATTCCTACGACACTTTATCACTTCCTTTTTAACATCGAGCGTAACACTATTGCGCTTTTTCTTATGATCACAACCTGCACTGTCACTAGCACTACGCGTGCTACTCGTTGTTGAAGGTTCGCGATGATGTTTTGCAATAAAGTCCACGCCAGAGGTCGCAATCGGGTACCCGATACCCATACCCTACCCGATACACGGCCGGGTACGGGTAGCCGGGTATCAGGTATGGGTAGGGTATGGGTACCCGTTTACGACCCTGGTGCGGCCGGGTACGGGTAGGGGTAAGGAATCAAAACCCGTTTGCGACCTCTGGTCCACGCCGATTACAAGGAGCACTCGCTACATTAGTTGGAGAACACGATGGGACTGAGAAAGGTGGCAGCGCACGCGCGAAATACGAGTTGGACAGTGTTTTCGACTCGGGTGAAATGAGTTGGAAAAGCCGTAACACGGCTGTGTGCGCGGGGAAATTTTACGTTGGGCTCCTCAAAAAGTCAGCGACGTGAGTGCGACACGAGGTATATCGAGACGACATACCGGGCACCACCTGTACTGCTTTATAATGGTAGAAACACAATATACTGAAGCACTAAATTAAATACTGTAGTAAATTGCAAAATAAAACCATAGCAACACTGCGCCCATTTGTGCAAAACTAGTTTTGTTTGTTTGATTTAACTTTTGATTGAGCTTGGCAATGCATATATATAACAGTTAAACACTAGAACTGAAGAAACCAAGATAAATAACAGGAGAGTGTTTGACATTGGACAGGGGAGGTAAAAAGGAAAGTAAAGGGAAGGAACTGAATATACAAAGAGGGCCACCCCACAAAACTAAAACAGCCCTATAATTTCAAACGCACTCAAGTCACTTCTTGTAACTACAACTGGCCTCGTGAAGAGCCAAACGTGACTGAGGCGTGTGTTCTCATGTGTGGCCCACCTGTGAAGGTATTTGCAGGTCCTATTTGGCCCTTAGTAAGGAACAGCTTCCCCATCCTCGGCAGCTCATCCCAACCAAGTGTCTCGACGCACGCAGATCCCGAAAATAAAAATTCCCTTCCTCCTTTCCCAATGGCGACTCAGTGCTGGCAACTCCCTCCAAATTCTATTCGAAAGATCTATTCAACCCTCGATACGGCAAAGACTCATCACACCTGCGCCATCTCTTTAGCAGCTGGAGAATACTAAGTATTTCAAGACACGTGCCGATACCAAAACCCAAACCTCCCTTTGCGGTACCGGCGACTCGACTCCCCGTGAGCTCAGATCACACCAGAGGTCGCAACCGGGTACCCGATACTACCCGTACCCTACCCGATACCCGGCTACCCGTACCCAGCCGGGTACGGGTAGCCATTTGTGACCCTGGTGCAGCTGGGTACGGGTACGGGTAGGCCGTGAGTCACTGGTGAGTAACCGTTTGTCACTCATTTCGGGTAGGGTACGGGTAGGCAACGGGTACCCGTACCCGGCCGGGCACGGGTACCCATTTGCGACCCTGGTGCGGCCGGGTACGGGTAAGGAATAAAAACCCGTTTGCGACCTCTGGGTCACACCTGCCCGCCGTGGTGCATGCGCAGGTGCATTTTCATGTTTCCTACCTGCGAGAATGCGCGTCCGCACACATCGCACGTGTAGGGCTTCTCGCCCGTGTGCGTGCGGCGGTGTGCCTTCATGTTGGAGTAGTGCGCAAAGGCGCGGCCGCACACGTCGCAGCCGTACGGCCGCTCGCCCGTATGCGTACGCTCGTGCAACCGCAGCCCCGAGAAGTGCTTGAAGGCGCGGCCGCACAGCGCACAGCGGTACTGTCGCTCGCCGGTGTGCGTGATCCAGTGCTTCTTGAGGTTGCACAGCTGTGAAAAGGCGCGCCCGCACACCTCGCAGCAGTAGGGTCGCTCGCCCGTGTGCGTGCGCATGTGCCGCTTCAGGTCGTCAGTCTTGAAGAAGCGGCTGTCGCAGTGCAGGCACTGGTGTGGACGCGCCTTCTCAGCCGACGCCGGCGCTATTGTCGTGGATTTCTCAGGAGCCTGGGACTGCGACGGACTGTCGCTGGACCCATCACCATCGCGGCCACCACTGCACGAAGCGGGTTGCGAGTTGCTCGTTTCGGCGGTGGCTGTGTTTTTGTCGATGTAATTGTCTTCGTTGTTGAAATTTTGATTGTTGTAAGTGTTGTCGTTGATGTAAGTGTCGTCATTGTTGTAAGCGTCGTTGTTGTAATTGTTGTCGTCATCGTTGTTGTAATGGTCGTCTGGGAGGTTAAGGTTTTCTCTGTTGTTGACACTCAGCTCCAGGTCGTCACCGCCGCTTCCTCCTTCTCCTTCTGCATTCTCAGCTGATGATGCAAAGCACAGAAGAGATTTTGACTGTCTTGAAGGGCACGTTTGACATGGCTGATAATTGAGAGAAAGTTTCACAAAGAGATGAGCCTAATGATGACAATGATCCTAGAATCCAATCTCTGGCAGCTGAGTCTGAAATGTGACAGATATTTAAAGTAGGTCTCAGAGAAGATCGTGTGGAGTAGTGAATGGTTAACACACGTGGATTACCAGCCATAGTTAAAATCAGTGGCAAGTGATATCTGAGTGGTCCTGCCCCCAACCCACCCCCCTTTCACCAACCCCATTGATTAGCGTGGTGCGGGTATGGTTAAATGAACCCCATAACTGACAATCCAGCACATCAACACCTCAGCAATCAGATTCACAACCAAATGGCTCTCAGACCACTCAAGCCTGGACTTAAGGGGAGTAGTATTATCAATAATAAGTGGAAGTGAAAGCTGTGTGCTTTAACAGGAAATACAATGAGGGAAATATGTTGGCAGAACAATAAGAAAACAGCAAATGCAAGTTCAACAGAGGTAAAAAAACAACATTACCGCATGGGGTTGATCACGGTATGGAGTCGAGTTTAACTGCAAGGTGTCACATGAAATCCAATAACAATGCATTTAGGTGGAGAAATGGCACAGGGGTAGCATGTTTGCCACTTGTTGTAGAGCTTCAAGGTTAAAATGTGGCAGGCCGCCCTGGTTAATACTGTCAGTGTATTAACCGTAAAATATCAGCCGGATTTTGCAATACTGCAGTGGACGTAAAAATATTTTGTGATGCGATTTAAAAAGAGCAAGTCATCACGTGCGCTGGCGTTATGGTTCAAATATTTTCAAATAAAAAATGCAATACTTGAGAAACACACAGAACTATCACCCCCTATTGCAAAACTACTGCACACGGTCTAATAAAACACAACACCTTCGTGAAAGCCTTGCACGATAAAAATTGCGGTGTTACCAAATTCCATCTCTAAGAATGAAACATATCGGTTTGACTGTCATGACGAACATTACCTTTTGTGGTAAAGTGCTGCCCTCTACCAAGACTAAAGTGCTGTCTCTATTGCGATTGCAGAGGTAGCTTTGTGACAAGAGTGCAGCTGCACTTTGGAAGTTGGGATGCCCCTCTAGTGAATAGTTCCTCTTGGTTACTGGTTAGGTTACGGACAGGATTTGCCAAGTTCGCCCCCCATTTCGTCCCGGATAAGAGGAGTTTTACTAAAGTCTAAACCACATTAAGCACTGAGCCTACTGTTCATGCGCTACTTTGTATTTAAAGGTTCTGCCATCAGCATAATTAGAATTTATATGACCTTGATTAATGGAGGTAAACAATCTAAAAAAATACCGTATTTCTGTCCAAAATGTTGTACCTGAACCAAATATAAAAAATACTGGTATCTAGTTTTGTGTGCCGTTCTCTGCTGTTCTGCGAGAGAACCAGAAAGATTCTTCCATCTCATGAGATGACGTCTATAGCACAATCTGGATACAATTGTGGCGAAAAGATAACAATAACAAAACCATCAGCCACACTCACAAGTGAGCTGCTCATCGTCGGGAACGTCCATCATTGTGGTCGTCGTCATCACCACCCCTTTCAGCTGGGCCCCAGAGAAGCCGGGTCTCGCTCCGTGCTGCTCCGACACTTGGGTCACTCCTAGAGGCAGAAACGAATGCGGCCGTGAGCTCAACTGGGAGCGCCGAGAGGTTGAACGCTGAGCCCAGGGGCTCAAGATTATAGTCAGGGTCAAGGTTCCAAAGTGAGTCTCATTGATTGGTGATGGCGAAGGAAATTTGAGGAAGGCGCGAAGACAGAAGAGCGTTGAGGCGCCCTATGTTCGTTTAGGGCGGTAGGGTCGTGTGATGAGTGTTATCTGACCCCGTCCTGGGTGTCGCCTTCACCAACCCGCACGAGCCAGTGTGGTGAAGTATGGACAAATAACCAGCATGGCCGGCACGACATGGGGAGGCCTTCACGCAGTAATCTCCATATATATAAAAGGCAAAGTTGTGAATATGTGTGTCTGTTCAAAATGTTTAGCGTACTTCCTGACATGCAACAAACTGGAAATTTGCCATGTGGGTACTTTCCAGACTGTACACATGCAACAATTTAAAAAATACACTTTAGTTTTTTTTGGGGTGGGAAGCTCAATAATGCATATATTTTTGCACAGCAAGTGAGCTGTGACATCACATCTGTCATGTGACCCGAGCACATGGAAGCGTAACGCATTGTAGTGTAGTGGTTAGCGCGCTGCGCTACGAACCCGGCGACCCGAGTTCGATTCCCGCTCACGGCCACCACCGGTGACGATTATTTTAACCGGTCCTGGGCCCTCCCCTAGGTCGACTCAGCCTCAAACGAGTAACTGGTGTGGTGTGTGAACATCGCCACTGGGGAGACAAAGGCGGCCAGGCGTCGTGAATCCAAGTCCCGGGCGAAGCCGGGTAGTCCAGCTAGTTACTTAATATAATGAGCCAAGAATGTCTGTGTGTCACGCGCGTGACGTCACTCGCCGTCGACCAGCCCCCCTCATTAATAATCATGAACAGGTGGAGTCCTCCACATGGACCCCCCCCCCCGTCATTAATAATCATGAACGGGTGACGTCACTCCGCATGAAGGTGGAGCGGAAACGAAAATTTGTTTACGCAAATTAGCTTTCATTTTGACCTTTGTTTATGGAAAGTTAAGCTAATAAAGAAATCAACGCAGCAACTAATATAACGAGCCATGAAAGGCTGTGTGTGTGTCCCGCGTGTGACGTCACTCCACGAGCCCCCCCCCCTCATTAATGATCATGAGCAGGTGACGTCACTCCATATGCCGCACCCCTCCCCAATAACCATGAGGGGTGATGTCACTCCACAAGCCGCACCCCTCCCCAATAACCATGAGGGGTGACGTCACTCCACATGGGACAACCACAATCCTCATTAATAATCATGAGCTGAACAATTTTTATATTTAATATTTCGGATTTACTGCAATATACACTCGTCCTTGGACGGGCAAACAAGCTAAGTGGATTGATAAAGGTCTGTAAATAACTTGTATACATTTACTACTTTTGCAGTGCAGTGCAATATAATATCATGTATTTATGTATTACAGTAAACTGTAGAGTACTATAACAAAGTTAATTTATAAAATGAACACTTACCTTCATCCGAGTCTTTATGTTCAGTTTTGATCTCGTCCCAGGCCTCGACCAGATCCTCTTCAGCCTGACCTGTACAACAAACACGAAGAGATGACAAAAAAAAATAAACCTTATTTACTAGCCCCTTTTGCCCGTGCAATGACGGGTGTATTGCAGATAATCTGAAACTTGCAAGCGAAAAGCAGATCGCGACGTGATATTCATTGCATTAATGCGTGTGCAATTTCTAAGGGCGTGGTGACACAGACCTTTTTCATTTAAAGGTTACAATCCCTTGTTCATCATGACGTCCTTTTTACTTCGATGTCTCAATAGCGTTACGGAGATCGCGTTATGTGAAGGTTCTGCCTTTGTAGTGAGGGTTGTAAGCTGTATTATGTCAGCCTACTTTATATATGTTTCTGTTGTAAGCAAGTGTCAATGATGAGTGTGGTGATTTTTATAGGAATTAAAACTACATCCGTTGTTTTCCCATATTTGCCTCCTTTTACACCAGTACTACTGTCACCAACACTGCCCTCAAAACCACCATAATCAACAATGCAGCTTATACTACCATACAACCACCACTTACAACATCACTAGAGTACTTACCATCCCCACAATCTTCACCATCCCAACCACCGCTGTCAGAACCATCATCACCATCGCCACCATCACCATCATCATTACCACCACCGCCACCTCCCAACCTCTGAACGGACAGCAGCAGCTCCCGGCTCAAGCCGCTGAACAGAGCGAGCAGCACGTCCACCAGGCCTCCCAACGTCACGTCGCCTGGGGAGGAGGCGGTGGCGTTCCAGGGCGACGTCCCAGCATCGTGGGGCTCGGCGCCCCGCAGGGCCTTCACCACCTGCCGCAGCACGGCGTAGAAGCCGAAGGGCAGGCGGTCGCGCGCCGCGGCCAGCAGCTCGGCACGCACGAGGCCGTCCCCGACGCAGGCGCGCAGGACCCCGTAGTCCCGGATGCCCAGCTCCGAGTCCATGGCCCGGGCCACCTCCTCGTTCACGCCCTGCGCCTCCAGCCACGCCGGGAAGTCCCCGCTTGGCTCCGGCGCCGGAGTGGCCACCGCACACGCCATGCTACGATTCAGTTGCAGAGAGATGGTTTACATTATACAACTGAAGTTGGGTATAAGCATGCTATATGTGAGATGCTGTCGCCAAAGTTATTCAGTTATATATAATACAAAGATGAGGTATCAATATGAATGGTAATATTATCCATCTTGGATTGCCGACAATAGCGATAATAACGTCTGTCAATGTACTGCGGAAAATATAAGCAAAACTTAATAGAGAATGCTGCAAATTACCTTTGAGCAAAACATGAATCACGCACAAGTTAACTCAACAATTGGGAGATATCCGTCAGAGCGAAACAATAATAAAACATTGGTGCGTGTAAACAGTACAGCTATTGAACTTGTATCAGTCAAAATAATGAAATCGATGGAATGTTGGAGTGCTTTTATAAGACAGAACTTTATCTTAAAAACGTAAATAAAAATATGTGTTTTAATCAATGAGGATTACCTGCTGTTTGGATCAGAAACGTAAAAAAGAAAATGGACCGAAAATAAAAAGTATGCACTGCAAGGATAGATGCACAAGAACAAAACAAATTCTAAATGATAATTGTTTTATTACCCTTTTATCTAGCAACAAAACTGACACCTTTTTTACAAGGAGTCATGTTTGCATTGACCACAATGCCTGCAGTCGGAATGTAAACAAAAAACATAACTCTGTTAATGTATGCACTGTCCTTGAAGTTGATTGGTCCACACCCGAGACAGCTTTCCTTAGAGCCTAGTCTCACATGGTGTTGGACCAGATGACGCAAAAAGGCGCACAACTCAAGGACAATGAACCATCAGAGTATGAGAGCTCGGGGTAAGCATTTACACGATTGGAACCTCATTTGCCAGTAACAAAATAAAACAAATGTATTCGAGAACACGCAGGTTAAATACATAATTGACACTGTGAAGAAAACCAAATGAGCTTTGGCAGGAAATATCGCTGGAACAGTTGATGGCTGGTGGTCAAGAATAATACCACGGTGGCAGCTAAGGAATGGAATGGGTCTGAAAGAGCGTCCACGAAGGAGACGGGGCCATTAAATGTCGAACTGTTTTCCCACCGTACGTAACCAACCGTGCCAATCGGAGGTGCAGGGGAAGGACAACGAACCACATACACTAAAACGCCGTTCTGAAGAAATGAGTTTTCAATCCGAACTTGAAAGTGCAGGGCTCCAGTGGCTTCCGAATATCGACCGCAAAAGCGCGCCTGAAAGATAATATAATCCATCTATCACGGGCAGGTGATAGATTGATTCGTTCTTACATTAACATGCTAATCTCTCACATTAACATAGCCACTTCCGTGCCCTAGTCGAGGAGGCCGCTCTCCTATCTTACAGTTACATGCTAATTTCTCACATTAACATCACGAGCCCCGCCCACTTATTTATGACCCTTGGGCTACACCCATTTCAAACCTTGTAAAACAGTCTGCCTCAGCAGCAGACCATGCTTTCGCACCTGATGACGGACGCTTGTGTTGCGCCCGAAACGTCGTGATTTATTTTCTACCTACGTGACTTTACCGAAAGAACCAAAGAGAATGAATTCCTGCAGTCACGAAAGCTTCAAACCAAGATTGATAGATTAATCATTACATCTCGATTTAAAGCGTTCGTGACTGCATTGATTCATATTATTGGTTCTTTCGATAAAGTCACGTAGAAGCGAAATAACACAATAATAAAAATAAAACAATAAAATTCTCACGACCTTTCGATTGCAACACAAGCAATCATCATCAGGTGTAAAAACCACAGCAAAAGAAAAAAAATCAAAATTTCTGTATATATATGCTGGACTTGGTTGCGTCCAAATGTGGCCACATCACCTCCAGGCGCGGCACAGAATCGGTGGGAATTTGAATCGAATCGAATTTGTGTTGTGCAGGCATCATCAACACGCTTGCATTTCACAATAGCCGAGACCCGATCTCGTAAGCTAAGCAGTATTGAAGCCTGGCTAGTGTTTGGAAGGGCAACCACAGCACACACTATAAAACGATGAAACAATGTTTTTTTTTTTACATTTGACCAGATAGGGCCCACTCAGCAATACACTTCGTTCTTGGCCAACAAATGATAGCTCAATGAAGCGGCTCATCATGCGGACATTTATAAATAATTATAGCAGCCAAACACTCTAAAACGTACGTTGATTCTTGAGTGTGGAGGGAATACACCGGTGCTTATAGACCGCTGCAGAGAGACACATCTGGCAACAGAAAACACCGCACTGGACTTTTACACATTCCCCCGCCTTAGCCAACACGCACTGGACCAACGTGGTGAAGTATGGTCGAACAACCCCTTTCCCCCCATCCCTTCCACACGATGTGGGTATGGGACCGCCCCGAAGAACCCCCATCATCCAGCAGTGGAGTGAGACGGGGCCCATCGATCTACGGGTTCTCTACCCCCTGAAGCGCCTTGCAACAGCGAATTGTTTATTGACAGCGGCGCCTTGGCTCCGCGTCTACCACTCACGTCGCTAGGCCCTGGGCAGCAGTGGCAGCAGTAGCAGCAGCAGTAGCACCAGCAGGAGGAGGTGGTTGTGGAGTTGTTTGCGAGACGCGAGACGTTTCTTCGTTTCAACCTCCGGATTTCCCCTCTCGCGGACTCCCTCGGAGTGACGAAGGCCCTGGACTGTGGATGAGGGCGGCGCGGGGCCCCGGACCGTGGATGAGGACGGCGCGGGGCCCCGGACCGTGGATGAGGAGCGCGGGGCCCCGGACCGTGGATGAGGACGGCGCGGGGTCCCGAACCGTGGATGAGGAGCGCGGGGCCCCGGACCGTGGATGAGGGCGGCGCGGGGCCCCGGACTGTGGATGAGGGCGGCGCGGGGCCCCGGACCGTGGATGAGGGCGGCGCGGGGCCCCGGACCGTGGATGAGGGCGGCGCGGGGCCCCGGACTGTGGATGAGGGCGGCGCGGGGTCCCGAACCGTGGATGAGGGCGGCGCGGGGCCCCGGACCGTGGATGAGGAGCGCGGGGCCCCGGACCGTGGATGAGGGCGGCGCGGGGCCCCGGACCGTGGATGAGGGCGGCGCGGGGCCCCGGACTGTGGATGAGGAGGCGCGGCGCCCCGGACCGTGAATTGCAAAGGGATCCCAAGTGGAACAAGGGGACTCCGCATTTATGAAAAAAACAGCAACCATTGTAATACTCTTAGGGTTTTTCGGTAAAGTCACGTAGGTAAAAAAGGGTTTTTTTCGGTAAAATCACGTAGGTAAAAAATAATAAATGAAAATAACTCAAATAATAATCAATGAAAATAACTAAATAATAAAATAAAATAATAATAAATGAAATAGCTCAAAATAATAAATGAAAATAACTCAAAATAATAATCAATGAAAATAACTAAATAATAATAAAATAAAATAATAATAAATGAAATAGCTCAAAATAATAAATGAAAATAACTCAATTATTATTTTTTTCCTACGTGACTTTACCGAAAAAAGAGTATGAATCCTTGCAGTCACGAAAGCTTCAAATCTAGAACCATTGTAATCTTAGTAAACACGTAACGCTAATGAATATAACAAAAAAATATTCTCTGTAATCTGGCTTTTCTGTAGCTATCTGCTCTTATCTCGCTAAATCGCTATTTGTTATCTCCGCGTGAATGTTGAACTTCTTTCGTGCCGTACGTAGCCAACCGGTGGTGCAATACCTGCGTCCCTCGTGTACGCCCCCTCATTCCCCCTCCATAGAGGGTTCAAGGGGACCCCACAAACATGACAAACTTCAGACGCTGTCTTTCCGACAGCCCTGTTCTTCACCTGAGGCCGGCTGCTTGCGTTGTGGCCGAAACGTCGTGAGAATTGTATTTGATTATGTTTTATTTTTGTTATTTTATTATTTCCCTTCTACGTGACTTTACCGAAAGAACCAAGAAGATAAACTCAAGGGGGTTTGCCTGAAATCTTAGCTCAAATGTTGGGAAACACATAACGCGAATTAAGATTTAAAAAAATAAATATAATTATTCTCTATCTATATTTCCTCTCGCTATCTGCTCTTAGCTCGCTAAATCGCTGTTATTTATTTATAGGCGTAACCCCCCACAGCGCGAATTCGCAGTTAGGCAATTCATCTTTGAGGGACATAGTAAGATTGAACATTTCAAAATGAAGAATGTGAAATGGTTGAATTGAAACATAAAAAATATCTATTTATTTGACAGGTTAAGATGCCAATCTGATGGCGTCACCGCGTGATGGCAGCTCCCAGTGTCACGGGGCTGGGCGTTGTCATCTCAAGTAATCTTCGCAAGTGCAGTGGGTAATCTTTATTTATCTGAGACATTAAACTCATTTGTGTAATTTAAATCACGTTATTAAGTGTTACATTTACACACATTTTGTAAATCCAGAGAGAAAAGAATTGAATTAAATGGCTCGTGCACGGTACTTTATGGGAAGGGTGGGGGGGTTGCGGTGTTAATAACAATTTATAACAAAAAAAATTGTTATTTTCTAATTGCTTATGCCTCAAAAGTACAAAAAATGGCTGTTATTCCCCACAAACTTAGCTTTTGTTACCAGGATACATAAGCAAAGTTAATAATCCACTCCATTAATAACACTGTATAACAAATTTATTATGTTTTGTTCCTGGGTAATAAGTGTTATTTCCTAATTGCTTATCCCTCAAAAGTACAGAAAATGGCTATTATTCTCCACAATCTTAGCTTTTGTGGCCAGGACTTTTTTTTATGTTAACGAAAGACACAAATGCACATTCGCCGTGAAGATAGCGACCTCCGGTGGCCGCTGTGTGTAGTAAGTTCGCACGGAGACCTCTGCTCAACTTAACAAGTCGGTGAACAGCCATCAACAACAATCACGCGACGCTGTTTGTATAGAGCCACAGGCTGCAGTGTGGAGTTGTCGTGAGGACTCCGACGGTGTGGAGGATGACCACCACAGAGACCCTTTGCCTTGTTCTCCCAATTACGTCCATTCACACTCTTTGGAGATGAGGATGCTCAGATGGAGCCTCGGACTCACTCGATGGAATCGTGTCATGAACGAAGACGTTCGGAAGCGACTTGGTGTGGCCCCCATTGCGGACAAGATGCTTGAGGCAAGGCTTCGGTGGTACGGCCATGTGATGCGAAGTGAAGAGTCATCAGTGGCCAAGACTGCCATGCGTATTGAGCCAGAGGGCCGCCGTCCACGCGGACGTCCGAAGAAGCGATGGATGGATCGAATAAAGGAAGACATGAAGACGGTCAACGCATCCCCCGAAGATGCCCTGGACCGAGCCAAATGGAGAAGACAATGCCGAAAAGCGGACCCTGCGCCACAGCGGGAACAACGCTAGGAAGATTTATACTCTTTGGTTCTTTCGGTAAAGTCACGTAGGTGTAAAATAAATTAAATCACGACGTTTCGGGCGCAACACAAGCGTCCGTCATCAGGTGGGACAACCACAGCAAGAAACAATTGCTGATGATAAACCCTCGCATGCGTGGGTTCTCTCCGGGTCTCCAGTTTCCTCCCATATGTAAACCCACACATTAATTGGCCAATAACACCTTAATATAGAGGGCCTCAGAACTGAGTCGTGCTGTGCGTGTGAGCGAGTACTGTGCGCATTACAAGGTGAACATTTTATGTGTTACGTAGGCTTTCACGATCAATGTTGTGATTTATTATTCAACACTTTAATGTTATATCGTCTAGGTATATGCGAAGTTTCAGCTTTACCCTTCACCAACTGACAGACCCAATCTAATCAAATTGTCACATGGACAAAAATGCTAACTTATTTGGTTTTTCAGCAAACCGGAATGTTGAAAAGCGCTTATATATTTTTTTGTTATATATATACAATTCGCTAGAGAAGACTTTTAGCAATGTATGCAAATCTCAGCTTTTGTGTTGAGCTTCTGTTGTTAACATTAGCTCAGCTCTCATGTAATACATGTACATAGCCAAAGTACTGTCAACAACATAAATATTAAATTTCAATTTAAAGCTTTCGTGACTGCAGGGATTCATCTTCTTGGTTCTTTCTCACCTGAGGACGGTTGCTTGCGTTGTGGCCGAAACGTCGTGAGAATTATTTTATTATGTTTATTTTTATTATTTTATTACTTCCCTTCTACGTGACTTTACCGAAAGAACCAAGAAGATGAACATAAATATTATGTATAAGAAAATACAAAACGTTTGTATCGGAAAAGATAAGGATTCTGTTTTTAATGAGTTATGTTTTGTATAAGTTGCATATTTCATTAAAATGTAACTCTTCAATTAACCGAACTTACAATTAACCTCTAACATTGGTCGCCAAATATAAGTTGACCCATCACGTGAAAGCGAAATTTCTATCATTGACCCTACTGCTCTTTTTAGCATGGAAATGCTTTGATTCTTGAGTTGCATTGCAGTGGGAAAGCATAAGCACAGCTCGTAATGAAGAAAAAGCAGACAAGGCATAACAATGGCACGTGTGTCTGTCTCTTCCAGGTTGGATACCACTCTCTGTCATTCTCGTGATCTTCCCAGCAAGGAAAATCACGAGAATGACGAGAATGATGAGAAGGAGAATAAGTCATCATTTCAAGGATGAGGTCAATGAGGGGACATGTGCAGGGATTTGCCCGTGTGCAGCAACACTTCCGGGCAGTTTTCCACTTCATCATGGTCCTTATACATCGCACATCAACCCATAGGAAGTGCATGACAGATTCGTCACAGCTGTTGGTTGTGAGCAGAAATCGAACTTGGGTCACAGGGTTCAAATCGCAAGGACGATAACTGTCGCACTAATGGTTCCCAGGGCTGATGAGGCACACACCCTCCCATGCCTTGGGAACCCGGTCCCTTGATAAACTATGCTGTGCCTGTGTTTTTTTCCCCAGAAAAGGTGACACCCCCGGGGATGCTGGCAACGAGAGGACGAATGCGGAGATCGGACCCAAGACCCCAGGATATGCCATTCCACACGGCACACACCACTTGCACAAACACCACCTGCACACACATACTTGCAATTGGGTCAAATGGCACTCACAAACCGAACCTCTCCACCTGAGTTTTCATCCCGGCAACCTATCGAGTGACCTGGCCACGGGTTTCCCATGTGAGAGAGAATTGGTAAAGTTTGGTGTGAAATAGAGGCCCCCGGACCCTGTGATAAACAAGGGTGAGTTTGACGCGAGACCACCTCCAGGAGAATCCGGGTCATTTTCTAAGGAAAATTTTTTATTCTGTCTGGTCGACTGTATGTGATGGTGCACCCAGAGACACGGATATGCAAGGGCAGTAGGTGGAAAGGGCAGGGAGTTCTGGAATACGACATTTTTTGCCTACGTGACTTTACCGAAAAAACTAAGAGTATGAATCGTTGCAGTCACGACAGCTTCAAATCTAGAATTACGACAATACTGTTTTCCTGAAACGATAAGATAGTGCGAGTCGAAGAGTGGCTCGTGTGGCCTTGGTGCATCATCAATGCATCGCGTGTGTAAAATTATGCATGATAATGACAATAAAAGCCGTTAAAAGTATACCTGAGTGTGGAATTTTATTTTGTGCGCATGTTGAGTTGCGTGGGGATTATAGGCTAATGT